TTGTCCTCCCCACCGCTCTATGCACTAATCCAAACCTCTCCAGATGCAGCTGTTTTCGGCACTGACCGTTTACACTCAAGCGAAAATGTTGGTGATAGCTTACAAACAACATTACATTGAAATGATTTTTATATAAATGCCATGTTGAAGTGTGGATATTTTTGTTTTTTCCCCAATATGCCTATTTTTAGTTTCGAATAATAAGAAGTGACGGTGGCATCCAAAATGAAATGCAGATTTCAAATCATCAAATTTGATAATGAAATTGTTGTGTGAAATTAATGTGATCCATTCCTAAAATTGTGTTCATTTCAATCAGTCAATAGACTGCTATAATTATTTATGAATTAAAAAAAGTACTACAGTCTTAAAAAATTGTTTTTAAGCTAACATTACATAAAATATTCCATTCGAAAGTCCTGCAAAAAATAAGCAAGAAATTATAACGTTTCCCGTTTATTTCATGCGCGACACGCGCATAGACTGTACAGACTGTACCAACATTTCCCATTGGGTGTAGTACAGTTGAACCGTTTATGGGCTCGCCCACCTGATTAGAGGCGGACAAGTGCACAAAAAAGCTCTCTAAAGAATGCATACACAGAGATATGTACTTACGGGATGTAAACAATACGTCATCGAAATGAAATGGATAAAGCACTTGCACTTACACAGAGAGAGACGGCTACAGCCACAGCTCCCACACTTGCACTTTGTTGTTTTTTGTTGGTATTCGAAATGTGCATTAGTCGTTTAAGTAGAAACTGTATACACAAATTACAGTCAAGCCCCCTTTCGGCAGTGGCTTTCATTTTTGTTATTGCTATTTCTATTTGTTTATGGTGCTGTTGGTGCTGCTGTAGCTGTTGTTGTTATGGTTTTTTGGTATTGCAATTTCGCAATGGATATTATGACACCCGCGCCAGTTGGTTGTTGTTGTTTACAAACCAAACCAGAAACAACATTAGGAACCGCAGAAAACACAAAGCACAAAGCACGCAATAAATAAAATCTGCAACAACAAACAATTATTTGTAAACTGCAGCTTCAGGGAGTTATAGTTTAAGGATCTTCTATTCTAATTCTTAATTTGAAATACATAAAAGTTGACTTGAGAGTGTCCCGTCTGTACTTGACCCAAACTTTGGCTATAAAATAGTGTACTATGTACAATGTATTGTTGTGTGAAACAAAACAACAGCCCCATAAATACGAATAAAAGGTGCAAACAAATCAATTATACCCTGCAGTTTTTGCATGGCTAAATATAAAATAGTTTGCCAGTTGCCAGGGTCTGTGTCTGTGTCTGGGTCCACTCAAAAGGCGGAAGAATAGTCGTATCTGCGGCGTCCTCAATTCATATCGAATGAGCCGGAAAACTAATAATACTGATAGTATTTCTCTGCTAATCTGTTTTCAGCTTGATGGCCAACTGGTGGGGTCAGCCACGGAGACGGACGCATCGCATCAGTTTCCGTCCAACGAAGAGCCAAATGTACTTGGACATGGACCCAACTACGATGAGAAGCTGTCCAAATTCAAATGGCTCTGCAACTTCGATGATGTGAGTGAAATGAAACTAACACAACGAAACTATCCTCCTCGCTTTGAGTCGTAACAATGTCTTGGGGGTCAATTTGGCATCAATTGTCGCGCACACTGAATGTTAATTGATCGCAAATTGTTTTTGGCGCACTGTCAACAGGCGCGGCACCCGGTCAGGGGCAAAATCGAACCCTCTCTCAGCCATCAACCATTTTTTATATTTCTTCTTTTTTTTGGCATTCAGTTTACATGCATTAAACATGCGACGAGTATTGTTATAAATCAAGTATCGGTTGGTCTTTTGGTCTGTGGTGTGTGCCTAAACAATTTGCGATCGCTATCTGAAAATGCCTATGAAAACGCCTAAAAATGTGAAACCCGCCACTTGGCTGGCAGAAATTGCAAAATAATACAATTAAACAAACCAAAAACCCAACTGAATCAAGGTCGCAAAGCCACAACAGCAACATTGAACAGTGGCAACAATAAGCGTACGCACACGTACCATTAAATATACAAATACAAAAAGAAGCAACTGTTTGTTTGGCTGACTATCGCAATCTGTGGTAAAAAACTCGAATATTTTGATAGTGGGGAAAGACCTCAAGGATAAATCTGAATATCAAAGATACCTGCCCGTAAAAAATAAATAGAAATACAGTTGCTGCAACTGATGGCCATTTCATTTAATGTACCACTAAAAGGTTGATAGTTGCTGCAATTAAATCAATTAATTTAATTTATTTTAAATTGAACCATGAACAGAATTTGTAGATTTTCTGGGCAGGCTGCCAGAGGCACACAAAAAAGTTGCTTCCAATTTCTATTCTGTGTTCTCGATTCGTGTGGCGCATTTGATTTGCATTTATTATTGTGCGTTGGAGAAATGTTTTCTTTTTTTATTTGCAATATTCAATTGGTATTTGATCTGTGCTGTTGTAGGCCCCCAGCCATCTGAAGTTCAATCCGTACATCCGACGCGGCTACCGTACATTCCTCTCCAACAAGCTGTGCCTGCAGAGCATTTTCTGGTGGACCAACGAGACGGTGAGTTCCCCCCCGCACCAGAACAGAGCTTTTAATTTGAATTTAAATTTGTTTTTTGTGTGTGTTTGCAGATCAATATCTGGAGCCATCTGGCTGGGTGCATACTGTTCATTGCCCTGACGATTTTTGACTTTCAGTTCCTGCGCATCCACGCCTCATTGACCGATCAGGTGCTGGTCGTCTGTCTGCTGGTCTGCTTCTGCCTGTGCATGCTGATGTCCGCCATATATCACATATTCTCGTGCAAGTCGGAGGAGCACTATGAGCTATTCCTTTCAGTCGATTTCCTGGGCATATCCCTCTCCCTGGTGGCCATCTATATAAGCGGCATGTACTACGCCTTCTGGTGCCACACGTTTCTGCGCACCCTCTACTCGACCATTGCCATGGGCATGTTTGGTCTGGCCATCGCTGTGCAGATACCCAAACTGAATGTCTCCATGAACGCCAAAGTGGCAGTGCTGCTGCTGTGGTCCGCCTACGGTGTCATTCCTCTGGGCCACTGGGCCGTCGCCATGGGTGGATTGGAGAATGAGTTGGTTAGGGTGAGTTCACGCCCGCTTTGGTTCTTTCCAGACAAATATACTCATCTGAGTTGATGCCTTTCAGCTGATGGCGCCCCGCATTGTGATCATGTATCTGCTGTGCCTCATCGCCTTTGTGTTTTATGCGGCCAAGATACCCGAGCGCTGGTTCACGGGCAAGGTGGACTTTGTGGGACACTCGCACAACTGGTGGCACCTGATCATCGTGGCCGCCTTCTACCACTGGCACAACACCGGCCTGGTGTACGCCGAGTACCGCCTGAACAACGGCTGCAGTGCGCCGATCCTCTCCTGAGGAGAGTTCTCGGCTTGGCCTGGGCAGCGGGACTCTGTTACTATTACGCCTAGTGTAAATAGCTTATGGAGCACTCTATATCTGCATAATAACTAATATTTAGTTGTAGTTGTTGACCGATATGATTAATTTATGTTTAGCTTACTGTTTAGTTAGGGTTTCGTGTTAGTCTATCCATGAGTCAGTCGGCACTGCACGAGCGGAGCGGCGGAAGTTTTTTGGTGTCTTTGATTTCCTTTAACAATGTTTTCGTTCTTCTTCTTTTTTTTTGGAAATTGCATGTGCCTTGAGCTGAAGCTGTGTTAGTCTAGTTGACTCAATTTTTACAATTACTTTAAAGGCAAATACAATATTGAAAGTACAAAACATTTCAGAGTATCTTTTAATTGTCGTCAGGGCTTAATTTTCGGGGTGCAAATGGTACAAAAAGAGATGGAACTTCGATTATTTAAATTAAGCTCAACTGCTCACAAAACTGTGTTTGAAATCTAAGATTAAAATTACGAACAATCAATCAATAACGGCAGAAATTACATTTTCACTGAAAAATAATACAAAACCGCCAAAAACTCATTGTTGATACGCATAAAAGAGTCAAAGCGATAAATTGTATCGAAATTTATAAATTGTAATCGACCCGGTTTTGTCATCATGCTGCGGAAGTAATTACTGATGTTTAAAATCAACTTAAAACTTTTTTGTTAATATTGACTAAAGATGCCCAAACTATAGAAAACTAAAAAGCGGTCAATACATTTTAGTTAAAACGTACATTCTCACTTACGTTTCTTTTCATGCAGACTTACGTTATTACATAGTATGTAATTGACATGTACAATTTACGTAAAATTTCATTCCCACACAAGTAAATATTTTGTTGGTTACGATTTTAATTTTAATCTTATTTTGTAATGAATCCAATTAAGATAAGTCATAAAAACTAGGCAGTCCTGTGGAAAATTGAATGATGATTCGAGTAAAATTACATTTTGAGAACTGAGAGTACTAACCAGCTGGTAATATTAAACAGAAGATCAATGTCGAAGAAATGGTTTTAGATGTACGGTATATTTTTAAATTGGGAAAGTATATTTTGTTATATTTGATCAATAGTTCCGCTGGAAACTGAGGCTGGGAAAACATCGATAGTGGCTACAATCGATAGTGGAAATAGTATGGGTATCTTATATTACCCTATCAACATTGGAGCAATGAATCAAATTCATCCCTAACTGACGAAATCCACCTCCAAATGGAAAATTTCTTCACGAGCAACTTTATTGTGCACTGGATATCCGGTCACAAGAATATTGCCCTTAATGAAAATACTTATATACCAGCCATAAGTTGTGAATCGAAACACAGTTGATTAATTCAGACCACACTTTTAAATTAAGCATCATATTGTTTATATTATAAAAACATTATTAATGCAACACCTTGCATCCCCTTATGAACAATCATCGATAGGAACACTCATCAATAAATATCGAACATACGCTTTCTAGAAAATATCGACAGCCCCATCAACGAACTGAAGTAGTCAATGCGGATTCATCGTCGTGCGACCATCCAATGCAGCGATTAAATACCAAAAATTGTTCGGCCGCGCGCAATCGAACAACGAGATACTGTCGAATTTTTTTCTGAATTCAGAAAATTCCGTCGGGTTAATCCATAGTTATTGATAAAATATCACCTGGAAATATACATTATCCAATAAGTATATATCGATTATATCAACTTTGGAACGGCGCGGCTGCGTCGCGGACAAATTGACTGTGTTTTGGCGGCGAAGCAGAGGAAAAGCAACAGGCCAACGGCGTTGAATTATTGGTTAATTAGTTTCAATTAGGCGGAAAAGGAGCAACAGCTGCCAGATCGCGCCAAACAACAGTAATTTTTGTGCGAGTACGAAATGAAAAGTAAGAGCAGCGGTCGTTGGTAGTGTGCGTATCGCGTGTGCCAGTGTGCGCCTGCGGGCAGTGTGCGTGTGTTTGTGTTGGAATGGAATGCACAAAGCCCATCCCCCCGGCCCCCATCGCTCAGTGTGTGCGCTCTATTATCGCTGAAAATATGTACAAGCAAAAGGCAACGTAAAAGAGAAACCGAAAAGAGAAAAAACGGTGAAGAAAACGAGAAAAGCGCGCGCCAAGTGACAAGTTTTTTTGTGTGGGACTGACCGACCGCCTTTAGTCCCCTGGAACCGGACAGACTCCCCCGCTGCACGATGCCAAATCTGCAGCAATCGGCGCCGCCGCACCACCTGCAGCCCCATCCGCACCATCTGCGGCCACAGCACCAGCAGCACCATCATCACCATCACCACCATCAGCACCACCAGCACGGGCCCCACAGCGACTTCCCCCTGCCGGACGGCTGGGACATTGCCAAGGATTTTGATGGCAAGACCTACTACATAGATCACATCAACAAAAAGACCACATGGCTGGATCCCAGAGATTGGTAAGTCTATACACATGTTCATCAGTACCACCTACAAGAGATAGAGAGAGAGAGAGAGAGAGAGAGAGAGAGAGCGGATCAGGAAGCTTACAAAAAAAAACCCATATAAATTCCGATTCCAATTCCAAAAGCGCTCGAACCGGAAAGATAAAGGTGCGTGTTGCACTTGTATGTGTTGTGTCTGTGTGTGTGTGAGTGTGTGTTTGCTTGTGGGCATGTGTTTGTAAAGGAATGCGAGAGGTTGAGGCAGAAGAAGCACCACAAAAACAAAGCAAAATAAATTACATATTTTAAACAACAACAAAAAAGCCTTAAGTAAACATTCCAAGGCGATGATTAAGACTCCAAATATAACCGAAACTGAAGCGAGAGAGAGAGAGAGAGAGTGTGTGAGTGCTAGAGAGGGAGAGAAACAACGACAGCGGCAACGGCAACAAACAAAAAATGAAATGTAAAAGGCAGAAAGAGAGTGGTGAAAAGAGGTATGCGGCAGACGGAGAAGGAGTAAAAATGTGCGCCAGATGGAAAGAGCATTGCAATGAAATGTACGGCAGAAAGAGAGGGAAAATAAATGTACAGCACGACGAACGGGGCAATGGCTGTTGGACAGAAGGGGCTGCGAGAAGAGGGAAAAATGGGAGAGCAAAAGTTAAATAAAGCTCAGCGAATGATCTGCAAAAAACAACTAACAATCTCATACGTAATGAGTGCAAGAGAGCAAAAGAAGCAGAGTGGCGAGAGAGGAGAGAGAGATCCAGAGTGGCATGATCTGGAGATGTGGTGATGGAAGGGGGCAGGCACCGCACTACATCAGGCCATGTATCTCATAGATACATTTTAGTTTGTCGTTCGTCGCTCGCTCACATTTAAATACCCTTACGGTGGTGAGAGTATTATGATTTCGACAAGAGCTTTGCAACTGCAATTCCCATGTTAAATTTTTCTTCAGCCAGATTAGATTAGTAGATTTTACAGTTGTCAGGGGAACGATCAATCCTCGAGTGTATGTAAAAGGTCGCAGCCATTCTTGTTTGTCTTGCCTCTCGCTCGGATATCTTTTCTCTCTGCCCTCTGTTTCCTTCTCACTCTTACTGCGCCGTGTGTGTATATATTGTATGTCTCTCTCATAAACAATTGCAAAATGTACATTGGAATTTTTGCAGTTTCGAAATAATTGATTTCTGACATTCTTCGCCCGCTCTCTCGTTTCTCTGCCCCACCCATTTCTTTCGCACTCTTTACTATCTGTGCGTCTCTCTCCCGCTCTCTTCACGCTTTCAATTAACACAAACATTCCCTTTGTTTGTTTCAAATTGCATGGACATTGTTAAAAATGTTTCACTGAATTAAACGCCCAAGCGTTGAGCGCTGAGGAATTTCTTTGCTTTGTTTCCCCCTCTCTCTCTCTCTCTCTCGGTCTGTCTCTGATTTTATTTCTTTGGAAATGAAACATCTGCGCATTTGTTAGGGTTATACATCAATTAGATTATACATTCACACACACACACACACACACAGTCCCGAGTTATATGCATTTTTTGGCTGGATCTTAAGCATATCGAACTAAAAGATTTTGAAATAATTTTGAATACATTTTTAAAGATTACATTCTGAGTTTTTAAAATAGATATTTTGTTATCGTTTACGATTTTTTAATGGATTTTCTTTAAAAATAGAATTATTTTGTTTATAACAAATAGAATTTCAAAAGGAATATTTATTAATAACTTCTCTATAATAAAAAAATCCTTTAGCGATCAAAAGGTCCCACGAAAAAAATTAATTTCACATTTATTGTTGAACTTTCTTTTACATTATTTTCGATCTAAATATACCCCTAAAAATATAATTCGTATATTTTGACCACCTTAATTTCAACGAATTTGTATTTCCAAATTGATTTCTTTGAAACCTGCATTTTTCGCCTCCATTATTGCCTTTATTGGCATTTCGCACGTCTCGCATATTTTTCATCCGAAAATTATTCACGCTTTTCGCCATTTATATCGCTCTCTCTTTCGTTGGATTCCCCCCCCAACCCCCCACACGAGCTGATATTGAATTTTAAAAACTGCTGCCGGTAGCGCGCATAAATTCCAATAAACCATAAATAAATTTCTACAATAAAGAGAAGCGAGCCAGCCCTCGGGTGGCCTTTAAAGGCCTCCCGCCACTAGCCACGTTTCGCGCACTGAGAGCCAAACAACCAACAGAAATCACAGAAACAAAAACAGAACAACAAAAAAAACAACATATATTCCAATGCTCATCTACAAGGTCGAATTGGGGATACCCTTGAAATGTTATCGACAATTGCACTTGTGCTGTGACTGTGGTCTACATTTTCGTGATGTTTTCTAATGTTTGTGCAACGTTTACCGGAAATTGCTATCATTAATGTATTTTAAGTGTACTTCAAAAATACCAGAGAAACAATAACTACTATGATTTGGTTTGATTTAATTGAATAACATTCTGTTGATTATGTGGTTGAATTTTTTAATTAGCTATTGAGAATGATTAATTGAATGAAAAGAGAGCTCTTTGGGCATTGTGCATTCCGTTTTAGAAGGGAAAGAGATCTGTTAGCATGGATCTTTAAGGTATTAAAAAATGTACTGGAATATCAAATTGGAATATTTTCTCCTTTAACATTAACCAATTTTATTATTTCCAAACGTTTTCCATTCCAATGTGTATTTTTGTGTCATGTTTCACTTGTTTGTACTGCATTAAGGCGATTTTTTCTTTTTGGTACATTTAATTGTTTCCCTTGTAGTTTTTTTTGTATTTAAACAAAAGTTAACATCGCGAATGGCATTTCTGTGCCGTCGTCTTTTTTACTTTCTTGAGAGTGTGTATTGTGTTTTTTGTATATTTGTTTTGCCATATTTTTGGCCAATTGTTTGGCTATAACAAGGCAGTCGACACAGTGGAATATTTTTGTGTGTGGCGGGGCTCAGACAGAAACGTGTTTGGTGACAGTTTCTCGATCTATTCATGGAATGAAAAAAAAAATAAGTGATCAAAAAATAAAACAAAAAATCACGTTGGAAATAAAAAGAAACAAAATATGTCGGCGGCTACCAGTTGTGATAGTGGCTCGAACTCGAATTCGAACTCGTTTGTTTTACATAAACACAAAAATCGCCGCCAAAAAGGCCTAGCGAAAGCGACCAACGCCGGACAACGGTAACGATGGCCTGTCATAAGTCGGACAGAGTGGCGCCACCGGCAGTGGCTCCGTAAATCTGTATCTTAAGTCTCAATAGCAAAGCAAAAAATCGACTCAGAATGCTACTAAGCTGACTATAAGATACCCGCTTAATGGATTTGACTGATGATCAAACGATCATCCTCATCAACCAACCATACGAAATTCTCTTTTATTGTGGTTTCTATTTTTTTGCTCAGAGAAAAGCATGCATCAAGCACATGGCATTTTGCTCAACATTTTATTCACTAAAGTCTAAATCAAAACTGTTGTTGGAAAGGTGCGTTTCTGATTATAAGAAAAGTATCTCAAAGTTCCACTCTCAATCCAGATTGAAGCAGTGTTCTAATTCTTGCACTTCCGCCTTCACAGCAGCCACTGTGCCATGTACAGATACAAACAATCGACCGATCAACGGAACGTTAGATCGAGCGCTGCTGCTGCTGCTGCTGCCAATTGCATAAAGAACGCAAATCATCCATCCCAGTCGAGAAAAGAGATGAGAGCTGAAAGATGGCAGCTGGAAAATGGGAGAGGCAGCACCGCAGCGTGTGCGTGTGCGTGTGCTAGTCATTATGCATTAGATGTGGCGATTTCTATCGCAACTAAAAACGAGCAACAAATTTGCATAAAATTCAATTTGGCTTTTGCAGCGAAAGATGCCAGGCAGCAGCCATAGAGCCACATGTGCACATACGAGTAGTATCTGGATGGATATTGTATGCATATATCCACGGACTGCTCGTACAGGGGCTGTCCATGTATACATGTGTATGTTTGTATGTATCTCTTCTGTGTATGTCTGCATGTTGTATAGCAACTTGGAAAGCTGCAAAACGGCATTTTTCATTTAATAAATTGCACAAGGCAATGCAGCAACAACTGCAACAGCAGCAGCAACAGAAAAAGCAAAAGCAACAACTGCAACTTCAGCAAGAAAAGTGGAAAGAATGCAGATGCAATTGCCGTTTGCTGTGGCACTTACAGTGATAATTGCTAAAGGAGTGACACACGACACATTCAAAATAGTGTTGCAATGAAATGTGGTTTGCATTTAATTCATTTAGCAGAAATTTTGTTGATTAAATGCAGAAAATGGTCCACAAACTTAATGCCAAAAATAAAAACTAGTTCATTTCCATTGCATTATCACTGTTCGCCCTAATAATGCGCCGATCTAGTAGTGTTTCTGCAATAAAGTAGAAACCCCTAAAAAAAATATGCAGAACTTATACGGAGCTTAGGCCCATTTATTTTATATGATATACTGCTCAAAATTCGCGCATGAATGCAAGATAAGATGCTCGTAGGCAACTTCCACTGTACGTGAGCAACAGATGCAGATACACAGCAGCAGCAACAGCAGCAACAGCAGCGACAGCAGGCAGGCAGGCAAACAGATACAGGCAACAACAGCATGCATTGCATTTGTGCAACAAGTATTTCCACTTAACAACAACAGCAACAACATCAGTAGAGGTGCAGAGGCAGGAGAAGGAGGGTAAAAATTGTTGCTGCTGCTGCTCCCTGCCACATGCAGCAGCAGCAAGTCGAAGCCGTGATTACAATTTGATTACGCGCATGAATGCAACGCGCGGACTGGCCAGCAGCGCAGCCATAGCAGTGGAAGTGGCAGAAACATTTTCTAGTTTGTTGTGCACACGGCGGCGGCCCAAAGCGTTCAAAAATATTTTCTTTTGCACTTGCAGGCTGCAACAACAACAGCAGCAACAGCAGCGGCCGCAGCGACACTCTGGCCAAAGATAGGCACATGGGTACATAATGT